AGAATGGCAGAGCTGAGCTACTCAACAGGACGATAATGGACAAAGCTCAGGCTATGCGCCTTGAAGCGTGTCTACCTGAATCCTGGTGGGAATTTGCGGTGAACCACGCTGTCCATGTGTACAACAGGACACCATCTCGTCGCCTCAAATGGCTGACACCATATGAGATGTTGAACGGCGAGGCTCCCGCCATTAGGCACCTACGAGTATTCGGGTGCGGCGCATACGTCTTTATCCCCAAGGACGTGCACAAGAACACTCTGTCTAGAAAGTCAGAGTTAATGACATACCTCGGTGTCGCCCCCGGAGGTCACGGTGACTTGTTCATGCGTGCACCAAATAATGTGCTCTACACGTCGTCACATGCGTTGTTCGACGAGAGTATGTTCCCCAAATGCCCCAGCATGAAGCGGCGGGGTAATACTAGGCTGCAAAGCGCGCCAAAACATGACCACAAAGCGGGTCACCAACCCACTTCTCAGGAGGATTCAGACGATGAGGATATCTCTCGTCCCTACCACCTTCCAAAGGGAACGGACGATGAGCGTGACGATGCTCAGGAGCAGCCAAAGGCGCCCAGTCCAGTTCCGCCGCCACAACCTTTGGGAATTCCTGCGCCTCAAGGGCAGCGGAAATCAGGTCGTCAGCGGAAGCATGTAACTCGCCCAGGGAACGTCTACGGAGAAAATCGCAATCCCGTAGACCAGTACAAAGAGATTGAAAAGAAGGGGCAGTGGAAAAAGATTGTCAGAGAAGGGTCGGGTAGCGCCCGCCCTAACCCTCAATCAGGGTCGCAGCAACAGGTTCCCGGACCTAGCGCGCCAGAACCACAGCCAGACCAACCTTCTGGATCTGCCTCGGGCTCAGACGAAGAAGTCGAGGAGTTACTCATGGCACGACTATGCCGGGAAGGGGGAGTAGGAATGGTCAACATGCTGCTTTCATGCGCAATACCATCTGTTGAACATGATTCTCCAGCGTCCAATCCACGTGAATGGACATACCGCGATATTCTCAAGCTACCCAAAGAGGAGCAAGAGAAGTGGAGACTAGCGTGTCGTGAGGAGTTAGAGGCTCTACGCAAACGCAATGTCTATGAGTTGGTAGACCGTCCTAAAGGACGTAGGGTTACCAAAAACCGCTGGGTCTTCGACGTCAAAACTGACGGTCGTAAAAAGGCTAGACTAGTCGCAAAAGGCTACTCCCAGATTGAAGGCCTTGACTATGATCAGGTCTTCTCTCCCGTCGTACACTTTGAGACCGTGCGCCTAATACTCGCGCTAGCTGCGCTCGAGGGCATGCACATCTCCGGACTCGATGTCCGTAATGCGTACCTCTATGGTAAACTCGACGAGGAGATTTACATGGAGCAGCCTGACGGCTTTAAAGTCCCAGGCCAAGAGCACAGAGTCCTCCGGCTACTGCGTGCTCTCTATGGACTTAAACAGGCGGGCTTGCGTGGTGGCGCACCCCCAATGAGTCCCTCAAGGAACTTGGCTGTGTACGCCTTGTATCCGATGCCGGAATATTCATCTACAAGACAAAAGATGGGAGGTTCGTCCTCATCATCGTCTATGTGGATGATGCCCTTTTCTGCGGAAAAGACAAGGCCCTAGTGGCCGCTCTAAAGAACCGCTTCATGAAGAAGTGGGAGTGTCGCGACCTTGGCGACGTCAAGGAGTTCCTGCGAATGAGCATTACTCGGAAAGGCGACGAGATTCATCTCGACCAAACTGCCTACCTTGAGAAGGTGCTTGAGCGCTGTGGCATGCAGAATGCTAAATCTGCGCCTACTCCACTCCCTGCGGGCTACAAACCTGAGCCTTACACCGGCACGGTTGACCCTGCACTTCGAAGTCGGTATCAGACTGTCATTGGCTCCTTGCTATATATCATGCTTGGAACTCGCCCTGACATCTGTTTTGCCGTGACAAAACTCGCGCAACATGCTGCGAACCCGTCACAGGATCACTTAGATAAAGCGCTGTATATCTGCCGCTATCTAATTGGAACCAAGTCCTATGCGCTTGTATACAGCGGCAAAACTGGACAAGGTGTCTCGGCGTGCACAGACTCCGACTGGGCTAACGACCCGGAGATGCGGAGGTCTCAGAGTGGCTACTTTATGAAGTTAGCTGGTGGAGTGTTCAGTTGGCTGTCTCGACGGCAAAAGACGGTAGCACTGTCTTCAACTGAGGCTGAATACATGTCGCTCAGCGACTGCAGCCGCCAAGTCGTATGGATTAAGATGCTCCTCACGGAGATTGGATATCCACTTGGCCCACTACCTATCTGCTCGGATAATCAGGGAGCGATATTCATCGGCTCAAACCCTGTAACTGAGAGGTGGTCGAAACACATCGACATACGCTATCATTATATCAGGGAGCTAATTGAAGAACGACAGGTCGAAGTCTTCTTCATTGGCACTGATGACAATCCGGCAGACCTCTTCACCAAGAACTTGGGCCGCGTCAAGTTCCAGAAGTTCAGGGGCATGCTCGGACTTCGATTCTACGATGAAGAGTCCTAGAGCAACCACGGACGGCAGCCCATGGCGCCAGGATATGCTTCGTATGTCAGGGACGTACTTAGCAAGGGGGAGTGTTGAACCATATAGGCGCCCACCGGGCCGCCGGGTTCCACGGGCCGGATCGCACTGCACGTGCTAGATCCGCACTTACCGCATAGAGCAAGTCATGCGTGGGAATGGACTATACAGTAGTATTAGTCAGCGTCTCTCAGATGTATATAAGACCCACCAGTAGCGTAGCTCTCTCTCCAGTACTTCCACCACTGGAACTACTTGTGTGCCTCAAGCTTAACAGCAACACCTTCAAGCAGGTAAGTTAGAGTGCGGTCCACTTCGTGTGACCAAGTCTGCTCAACAGCTTATCCAATGGTAATGAGTTTCTCTACAATTCAAAAGGATAACATATGCCCTGACACACCTCAAAACAGCTGCTTTGTGGATGTTTGGGGTGTCAGATGAACACCAAAGCACCTGAGAAATTGATACTGTCTCTAGCTGCCTATAGACACAGGCAGAGCTCAGTCTATACTATCTCATCAAGCACTCTTTGAAGCATCTTACCTGCAGGTACACAGAACACGGACAACAAGCCCAACTTGGTGCTCGGCAGACAGGAGATAGGACTAACAGAGTGCGGCGAAACAGCTACAGATGTTCACGATGAACAGCAAGGAGTAGAAGATGGGGGTTGAGAGCAAGGAGCAAAAACTTGAGGTCAGTCTCTCGGTGTACCGCCCCACCACATGGCCCATGCAATGCATCCGCATGTTCTATGAACCCTACTAGTATTAGGTGAGCATCCTGGGCGACTGTATATGTGTACCGGCTTCGCACAGCCACGTTGATTCTGTACCACCTTGGATCTCTATGCAGTACACTCTGCAGACAGCCTCTTGAGACGGAGATTCACCAATGTACCCTGAACTGACACTACCCAAACCAGCATTTTTGGAGGGTACATACTGCAAAGCATGTGAGGGAATCGGTGCACTTGGAGACAGCAAGTATGCAATGAGGATTCAAGACTGGTGCATGTGTGGGTATTGTGTGGTTATAGACCAGAACACACGACACAACGGGCTCCCAGGGACAACAATTCAAGCATCGTGCATTCGAGAGAGAGAGCCGCCGAGACAGAGCACCATCAATCACAGGAAAGATGGAAGGCATCTTCGCAAACAGCACCTGAATAAAACAGCTTCCGGTCCACACTCAGTATGTCCTGGATGAGTGCAAGCTTGGACGCGGCAACAGTGTATGCGCCACACACATCCCTGAAGAGCGCAGAGGAGAAGGAGCTCATGCAAGTCGTTTGCTTGTAGACCATCCGAATAACCGCCCATAGCTACTAGGAAGTCAGGAGTACCGCGCGCTCAAGCCACTGATTCCGAGATCAGCTTCATAGACACAGAAGACAATTCAACCTGCACAGATATAGAGCACGGACTATGGACCACAATGCACAGAGCTGTGGGTACCCGGAATAAGCAGAAGCCGGGGTCAAGCACTGGACTCCTGCGGACGTCCTGATCTTCATAGGACCCGACATCCCAAGCCTCGTCGCACGGACCTCGCGGTGGTTGAACGTGCGAGCGGAATGTGCACACATTCGTCTAGAACGGGAGGCTAACTCGCTAGTAGCCCTGAAACATGCCAGGATGAAGAACACTCGTATTACTCACCTCACATGCAGTCGTGCAGTCGCATACGCGTCACCGGACACAGGGCAGAGTCTGGCGCCGTCGGCGCGCGTTTGACCGGTATGCAGCCCACTGAGACAGGGACTCGGCGAGAGCTCGTATGATGTGTCCCACACGATCGAAAGTTTGAGTCATAGAGTGAAGTACTCACTAGGCAAGGGATCCCGCGACTCGATTCGTCGCGGCGGCATAGATGAGTGCTCGGCAAGTGAACAGAGATCATGGCAATTTGTCCTATCGTAGATACAAGGCCTACCCACCACCAAGGTCATTGGCCTGCAGACGCACTTGTGTGGTGGGAACTTAGACTCTTCTGCGCCTACGTGCCAGTGCAAGCCGGGCAGCTCGTATGTACGACTCGTCCGGCAATACACGGGCTGTCCGCTGATGAGGGCGAATGTCACGATCAACGACTGCATGGTGGTAGGGAGAAACGCGTACATACCTGACGTTCAGAAGCAAGCCAACCACGGCCGCTCCAGACCTCCCTCCGGGGTGAAGCCTGAGGCGTGTTTGTGGCCTGCCTACGGGAGGTGTAACGACACTGCACCCAGGCACTCATCCAATCGCAAAGCAACCGTGGACAGCCCACGCAGTATAGTCTTGGTGTCCAAAATGTGATTGTGGTGTCGTTTTGCGAGTGCAGAAAGAAACAAAAGACCATTGAACCCGTATAACGGGGCATGCTTACAAATCCCGAGTACCAAACGCCGAAGCGTTGGCGCCCGTGGTGGCTGCGATCGTTGGGCGGTTTGGGCCGACTTGGACTCAAACGTCTGCTACTTGGCGTGTGGCTGCAGTCGACCTTGCCTGCAGCCGCCGATTTCGTTCCAGCCGTGCGCGCAATCTTGTTCTCTTCTTTCCGTATGGCTACTCACTTTGTGCGCGACAGGCATAGCGTCGTGCTCGCACCATGTCTCAACGCAAACTGGGCACCAACTATGCTCTGCCGGACAATCCAGAATGGATCACCTTCCCTCGCTCAGACGGTGACCCGGGCGCCCTCCCCAAGAACACGCAGCGTATCGTCGACTCCAAAGGCGAAGTCAACTACATGCGCCCCGTTCAGCTCGACGAGGGCCAGGCCATCAACTGGCGCGTCAACGTCGGGGCTCAGGTCGCCAACTTGCTCAACTACCCCAGTGAGTCGTCCGCCCGCGTGCTTGCATCCCTACGCTCTGACCGCCACTCAAGAGGGCCCAAACTACGTGCTCCAGAATTGGCCCGAAGGCTACCAATTTTACGACCACAACAAGGGTCCTGCCAAATCTCCGCGACACGACCCATATCTATGCGGTGCGTCCCTCTCCATCCTGCCTAGCATACCGTCCTCACAGCGTTCCAGGTTCGACTCTCGTCAACCGCTTCCGCTCGACCAACGAGTTCATCCCTCACGCCGTCTGGCTCATGTCCGACGAAACTCTGAACCGCGGCAACTGCGAATGCAAATATTGCGCCAAAAAGCCCCAGCGCGTCGTCACGACCGTCCTCGACCTCCCCTCCGCCGGTTCGAGGCGCGGGTCCTCCATCATGAGCAGCCCGACCAAGTCGATCCGCCGCCACCGCGAGGTCCGCAAACCCAAGCCCTACGCCCAGGTCCGCCGCGCGCCCAAGCCCGTCAAGCCTCCCCGTGTCGGGCCGGAGCAGTCACTCGTCCCGGAGCGCGACAACGATGTGAGACACTCCCTCATGACGGGCCACTCTAGCGGGCCGAGGTGGCACAGGAAGGGCGAGCTCGTGTGGTGCGTGCTCAACCCGCCGATATGGGGAGAGAAACCGGACGACTGCATCCTGTTCTGGCCGGGCGTCATCGAACGCGTAGATGTTCACGGCGATGTGCTGCGAGATGAAAATGCGGTGGACAGTGCATCTGACAGCGCGCCCGCGCAACCGCCTGAGCCCGGGCCAGGCCCGGCGTCGGATGGAGGGAGCTCGCAGGTCGTCGCGGGGGACGTGAACGCGAAGCCGCCCTGGGACGTGCGCCAGTGGTACTCATACAACGTGAAGCTCCTCGCCGTGACGCACGCCTGCGCCGCCTCCGACCGCGAAGTCTTGCCCTACCTCGCGTACGCCCCGCCGGAACAGCTCCTCGGGAGTCTGCAGGACCACCTCCAGCAGATCATGCACTCCAAAGCCATCGCGGAGATGGACAGCGACCTCAGCCACACCTTCATGTTCAACCCCGTTTCCTTGGCGCAGTCTGCGCGAGGCCCCTCCGCCGCCGGCCCCTCCGCGATGCCCGACCCGGACCCTGTGCGTTACAGCGAGGCCGTCGCCCCATTTTCGCTCGCCGTGCAGATCGCGTCGAACGTAGCCGGGTTCTGGGGCCCGACGGACGAATGGGAGTGCAAGTTCACTGTCCCGCTCAACCAACCGCTGCCTCCGCCGCCGCCCGCCGAGCCCCGCCTGCCCACACAGGAGTCCGACGCCGGGCTCACTCTCGAAGCGCTACTGAACCAAGCCGCGGAGAACAACGCTGTCGACGTGACGCACCGGCCGACCGCGCAGAACATCGACGTCGACGGCGTGTACCGCCCGCCAGGCATGTCCGACGCGGAGTTCGAGGAGGTGCGCACGCGCGTGCTCGGGCCCGGCGGACCCACGCACGTCGTCACCCAGACGCGCTACCAGGGCCTCTGGTGGGGCGCGGAGCGCATCTGGACGGACGAGCTCGTCCGCCTCAAGCTCGCGCGCTGCCAGTTCGCCCCGCGGGTACGGACGTGTTCTTCCCGCCCGCGGGCCCGTCGGCCGGCGCGCGCGCGCACGCGGAGGGCAGCGGCTACGCGGAGGTCATCAACGAGGGCTCGATGGGCGCGGGGGAGAAGGGGCTGTTCATGCTGCTGGAGGGCCTGTTCGTCGTGGACGTCCTGAGGGAGGACGGGGAGGGCCTGACGAAGGAGTGTCGCGCGTCTGGGCAGCTGTACGAGCTTGCAGACGAAGATTGGGAGGACCCGATGGAGCCCCAGGAGCCCCCTCCTCAGGCCAATGGAAACGGCAAAGGTAAAGGCAAGGAGAGAGCTACAGATACAGGAGAGGGGGCTTCCAATGGGGTCGTTCCGCCGCCGGGTCCGTGGGGGCCTTCGTTCATGCCTGGACCATCTCCTCTGAGACCTCCACCACTGCCCAACCCTGATCCCACCGTCTCCGTCGCAGACACTGCGGAGGCTGCCCTCGCGCAGACGACCCAAGGCTCAGGCAAGCCCAAATCCCGCACCGTCGGGAGCCAACTGTCCCATCCCGCAAACTCGGTGCCGTATCCGTTGCCGAAAGCTCCAAAGGGCTTCAAGTTCCGGCGCATACACCCACCTGGACACGAAGTCGTCCTGTCGCTCCCTCTGATCAGCGGTCGATACTATCCCGGGCTGTTGGAACACCCCCTCATGGGGCCGATCATCGACAAGGCGTTTGCTGTCCCCTCGCATGATGGTGGGTTGGAGAAGAGCAGACACATCTGGGCTATGGAGGGATTGGTCGCTGGTGTGCATCAGTCCATGGACCCGACTATCTGGAAGCCGTCGCGGAGTACGATGTTCAAGGACGCGGACGTGGAGTCCAGAGGGCACTTCAAGGCTCTGTGGGAAGAGGTCAAGGAGGGCCGACAGATGGACCTTTCCCAGTTCATCAACCCAGATATTATGGACGTGGAAATGCGCTGAGATTATGTTGTCGACTTTGTTCAGCTGTGATACTCGTTGCTTGCTGGGTATGTTGGCTGTTTGCTGTGTCTTCAATATGTAGTGTCCTCAGTTCCAATTTCCTCCTCCATGTATTAATAATGTCCACAATGCAGGGAATCAATGCATACGGAGTGAGTACGCATAAAACGAGTGTAAATGGACATGTCGACGATTATACCAAAGATATATGTTGCGGAACGTCTGCGGTATCCACCGCACTCCTATGCCTCATCCCGCATTTCACGTCTGGCGACTCAGTACGTACGTGCGCAAATCTTGCCAACCTACGCGAATACAAGTCAGTCAGCAGATCAACGCGTTCAACGCGGGTCAGCAGACGCGCACCTCCTCCGACACGACACATCACCCGCTTCGACTTCCCACCACTCGTCCCGGGTCTAGAGAGCGTCGTCAACTTGCAGTTCACGATCTTAGTCGTGAGCGGGCCCGTGAACGAGTACTGCGCGCGGACCTCCTCGTTCTCCTTCGGCGTGCCGCGCAGCGGCGGGTCGATGCGCTTGACGACGAGCACATGCCCCAGGGAGTTGACCACGTTCGCGATCTCCATATCCAGCGGATCGCGCGGGTTCCCCGGGACGTATTCGTGCACCGGCACGCCGCTCCCGTCGCGCTCCCCGCCAGGCGTCCCCGCGCCCGAGCGGCTGGGTGGGCGCGAGCTCGCCGCAGGCGTGCGCGGGCTCGCGGACTCACGGAAGCTCGACGGCGGCATGGACAGCCGCGGCGTCGCCCGCAGGGCCTTGAGAATGTCGGGTGTGCGCGCGCCGTCTCCGGATGCCCGGAAGGACATGGAGCTGTCGGGGCGGAGATAGTCCAGGCTCGTCCCTGGGCGGGAGGCGGACATGACTTGGACGCTCGGGATGGGGATCATAGAGCGGCTGGGCGGACGGGCGGCGATGACGCTCCCGCCTGGGGTGTGCGAGCGGGCGTGGGTGGGCGAGAAGGCGCGCTGCATGAAGGAGTCGTCGCCTTCCAGGGAACTGTCGGAGAGCGATGTGGACATGAAGTGGAAGTGGGACTTGGTCGGCGTGGGGATGTAGCTCGGCGTCTTCGGTCGTGAACGGTGTTCCGTGGGGTGCCCGGGTGTCTGGAGTTGCGACCGTGACGGGGAGCGGTAAGACATAGTGAAGCCAGGCGTGTTCGAGCGCGACGGCGGACGATAGGAAACGGGGAGGCCAGGCGTATTCGAGCGCGACGGCGGGCGGTACATAGAAAACGGCGTGGTAGAGGAATGTGCGGTTGATACGGAAGACGTCACGGGGACCAGGGCCGGGAGGAGGCCATGGAGCTGCGCGACGCGCTGCGGTTGTACATTGGTGGTACAGAGGGTATGTCGTCGGACCGTCTGTAATTACTCGATGATACGGACGGCCGACGTGGGGACGACTTGACTGTGCCTGAATTGTCTTCATCTTGAACTCTTGTGGAACTGTTCCACGCGGGCCGCTTGACCGTCGTATTCATCTCCATCCTCTCGAGCCTCTTCGCGGATGGAGACGACTCGGGCGTCAGGCTGTGCGAGTGCTTGTGGGAGGGCGTGGCTGGTGTCAATGGCTGGTTGCCGGTGCCCATGAAGTGCAACATCGAAGCACGGTGTCGAAGCGACCGCCCGGGTTCGGAGGACGGGACGCGTTGGGGACTGGAAGGTGCTGTAGGCGTTATAGGTCCGGGGGGAGCCTTGGATGATCCATTACCAGTGAATCTCTTTGCAAACTTACGGAACGGAGAGATCGACCGAGAAAGCGTGCTGGAACTGCGAGTACGCTCTTTCGAGGGCCCCTCTACTGGGGGTGTCCGCAGGAATCCATTCTTTGGTCGAGACTTTGACGTTGTACCAGACGTGCTGGAGCCGGCCTCGCTGGAAGCGGCGCTGGCATCTTCGCCAGTGAGTATTCGCCGCACGGTATCCATCTCGGCATCTGTTCTTGCTATTCGTTCTTTGAGGTTGCGCCATCTCTGGGTGGACTCTGCGTGTCTTCTCAAGCATTCACCGTTCTTCGTGACGCGATCCTGAACTCCCTTGTCGATGATTGACAGGACTTTCGTCGTGGCAGGCATGTAGTGTCTGTACAAACGGTCAGTCGCGATCTCGGGATCTCAACGGTCTAGAACCCACTTCTTCTTCGCCTCGAAAGAATCGAGGAGTGATTGGAACGTGTCATAGCTTACGGGCGACTTCTCAGAACGAAGAGAAGATACGGAAGGCGGTCCTGTATCCATCATCGCGCCCTGTACCTTCCATATGAAATCCTGCAGCGAAGTGAGCCTGATATGCTAGTCAGCTTGATTGAACGACACGCACCTGACATCGGTTTACAGCCTTCTCCAGACTGGACATCATTCCATCCGCCTGATCTGTCACCGTCCTGAAGACGGTGAGCCACTTGTCTTCCTTGAGCTCCTCCCTCAGAACTTGTATCTCCTTCTGCAACGCATCCCACTCTGATAGCATCGTGGAGTGTTTCCGCAGCAACAGTGTCTCCTCACTTGGAACATGGCCCGACGCAACGGAGGTTCTGTCCCCGGCCTTGAGGAGCGGTTCGAGGGTGTCGTTCACGGACTTGATGCCGGCGGACACGGAGTCGAGTCGTTCGTCGAGGCTGGAGAGGGACTGGTCGATAACGCTCGTCGAGTCGGCCGAGGACTGCGACTTGTGCCGCAGCTCTTGGATTTCTACGTGCGGATGAGCGGGCAGCGTAGTGCGCGGGAGGGCGGCGACGTACCGAAGATGCGCGTTTGGATGTCAGAGATGGTGTATGACAGTTCTGTGATACGGGACGAGAGGGCGAGGAGATGCAGATTCCTGTGCACGGCATCAGCAGTAGCTAGGGCGAGCGAAGGAGGATGTGCGTACTCGCTGCTCTTCCCCTTGCCCTTGGGCTTGATTAGAGACCGGCTTGCGGTTATGGTCATATCCTCTGAGCAAATGGTATTAGCTGTAGCATTGACGCGATTGAATGGCACACGGACCCCCATCCTTTTTGTTCAGCGAAGATAAGGAAGAGGAACTGCTGGAGGAAGATGTCGAGTTGAAATGAGAGTCCGGGGGCGAAGGCAAGGGCGACGCATGCTTGAAGCTGTTCTGGGATGCGGTACTAGGAGAACGAGAGATGCTGAGAGAAACCATAAGAACGAGCGAGCGAGTCGCGACAGCAAGGAGGAGCGTAGGGTATGGATCCGGGACGTAAACTTGCGATTGGAAGGGAGGGTACACGGGTTCGTTGGCTCAGAGGATCCGCCGGGGCTCGGGTCGCTGCTGAGACGGAGGGGTATAAGCAACACTGACGAGGGGGAGCACGACGGATCCTCTGCCGCTGAGAGGACGACCAGACAGACTCGAGGATGGGACGGAGGCAAACAAGTTGGCGGGACACAACAACCTGCCTCCGCCCAAACAAGCGACCGTCACCACATTACACAGGCGCTTGTCACCGTCGGAAGCAGTTCGGCTTCGTAGAATCGTACAGTCCACCATTTCGTCTAGCAATTGCCCTCAGCTACTAGTACATCCTGACACAATCCCCGTCTGGACAACGGCCACCCTACGCATACGACCGCACTTTCGAAAAGTGGAAGCCCCGATCGTGCTTCAGCGGCACCGGCGACACCTCCCCGCTCTCAATGTTCACCGAGTCGTACGCAAGGAAGTTCAGGCGGTTCCACCGGCCACCGGCCGCGAGCGCAGCTCCAGCGTCATCTGGAACGCGTGCCGGCAGATAGAGCCTGGGGGCGGGCGCGGGTCGACCAGGGACTCGATGTACACGGTCGTACGGACAATCTCCAGCTGCCGATGCTTAAACCCTGCAGTCGTGATTAGGATCGTCGCCCTCGCGGTGCAAGCTCATACAAACCTTCGCGTGCAGCGTGGGCTTGAGAACCGGGATGATCTCTCGTGGCTCGGCCAGGGACAGGAGGGAGATCACCTGTCCGTCAGATAGAACCGCCTGGTACGGCAGTCAACACGACACTTTTGGAAACAGGTAGCTGGGGCTCACAGAACCGGTGGTATTGCACTACGTGCGTGGGCTGCGTATAGGAATGAGTACCGTACTCGAACTTGAAGTCTGGTCACTGAATCACGTACATTGATCCACGCGTTCTCGCTCACCCCCGATCGCCTGAACAAGACAGCGAAGTTAGCGGATCATCCTGCAGAGTGTAGAGCGGACTCGTTACAAGTGGTGTCTGCTGCGCCGGCATTCACAATCCCTCCTCCATCATACAGTACGACTTGGAACGAACCCGCTCTATTGGGAGATAGGACATGTACATACGTGTAGTGGCAAATCGCAATGTATACACCGTCCAGCCGCACACGAGGATGTTCGATATACACCGTCTATGGTCTCCCAGGTAGCTGTTCAGCAGCACGTCCAGCTCCTCCATGTCGCGTAACTGTGGGGGTTTGTAGATAGCTTCCACAAACTCTCTGAAGCGAAAGTATGAGGCCAGTCCCCGAAAGATATGTTGCTGGGCACACCTCCAGATGCTCATGTCCAGGGTCAGTACCCGAGCCTTGCGGCTCACCAAGGCGAAGCGTTCTAGAGTAGTCGTGTTGAGCTTGCGCAGAACCACAAGGAGTACCTCGACAGGCAATTTCTGTATCTCAACAGACTGTTGTTCGTCCTCCGGCAGAAACTGTAGATCGTGTGGCCATTCCGCCATGATACTAGCCAAGGAATCCTGCGGGACCGCATCTCCACCTTCCTTGGCCGGGACGACAGCTGTATGAATGTCTGACGCCTTCAAGCCGTGCGTCACTTCATCTACCGGGTCTCTCTTCGCGCTCGAGGTCGCTTGCGCAGGCTGCTCAGCGGAGGGAACGGTTGTCTTGGCGTAGAACTGTGCCTCGATCTTGTGGTAGGCCCGGTCACGTTGGGGTCCATGCGGAACGCGATGCGGTAGAGCTCGAGGGCCTCATCGAGGTTGCTCTGCTGCTCGCAAAGCGCGGCGCGGCGGTAGACCTCCACAGCCCTTTGTAGCTTGGGGCCGACCGGCGCAGAGGTCGTGTCTGTGACCCGGGAAGCATGGATGGGGTGGTAGTTCTGCGCAGGGTGCACGCTCGCCTGAGGCAGGACCTCAAGGGACCGCTCTTCGGAGCAGCCTCTGGAGAGATGTGCTGTTCTGGCGCGGTGCCCGACCCTCCTGCGGCCTTGGACGGACCTACCGCTGCCGCCTTCTTCCTGCGCACTTCCTCTTTCCATGCTTTGCGAAATCGAGCGAGCTCCTCCGAGGATTCAGCAGGAGAGGAATCAGTCTGAGCTGTCATGAGCTCCGGCACTGCCTGTGTCGGGAGAGCAGCAGGAACAGAGGCTGAGGATTAGAGAAGAATGAAGTGAGGGCGAGTGGCTGCAGTGGCTGCTCCGTCAGCGACAGTGCGCTCATTACGTAATGACATGCAGATCGAGATTCCTCCGCCATCGAGATCCAGAGAATGAACGGTAATGAGTTGTCCGCATTTGGACTTAACGGCCGAAATCAGGTTGCGTGCCTCAGCGAGAAGCCCATCTCCACGTCTCCGCATCGACTCTGTGCAGCCACCTCCCTCTACAGACTGATCGCTCTCGTACCCGCCGGTGCGGCAAGGCCTACGCAGAGGCCGTTCCCCCTCCAGCACGATGGAGAGCAACAAGGACGAAGCCCTCAAATGCCTCGCAATCGCCCAGCGGCGCAGGGACGCGGGCGACCTCCCAGGGGCCCGCCGCTTCTGCCAGAAGTCCCTCGCCCTCTTCTCGACGCCAGAGGCGACCAAGCTTCTCAATGCCATCGAGGCCGACACTGCGTCCGCGGACTCAGCCGAGGCGTCGTCATCGAGCTCGAGCGCGGGTTCGAGTTCGGGTCAGCCGTTCGCGTCGGCGACGGAGGCACACCCGTCTGCGTCGGGCGCGCGACACCGACATACGGGTCCGCTGCGGGATCTGGGCCGAAGGCGAATGGGAATGCGGCGAAGGGCGCGGAGGAGGTGAAGCGAGATTACACGCCTGAGCAGGCGGCGGTGGTCAAACGGGTGCGGGCGTGCAAGGTTACGGAGTACTATGAGATTCTCTCGGTGAAGAAGGATTGTGAGGAGGCGGAGATCAAGAAGGCTTATCGTAAGGTATGTATGCCCCCCTCGGGCTCGGCGGTGACTTACAGCATTGTCGACTGCTTTAGTTGGCACTTTCGTTGCATCCGGACAAAAACGGTGCACCAGGAGCAGATGAGGCCTTCAAGTGTGCGTCTTGGATGGCTGTTCTCGTGTCCTGTGCTCTTCGCTGACATCTTGGCTTGCAGTGGTGTCGAAGGCATTCCAAGTGCTGTCCGGTGAGTGCAGTTATGGCTCAGCAGGAGTCATGTCCCCCGGTCTCACCACCCTTGCATAGATCCGCAAAAGCGAGCCGTGTATGATCAACATGGCTCAGACCCAGAATCGCGCTTCAGCGGCATGTCATCTGCTGGTCGTGCACCATCAGGGTTCGCCACGACCAACGGATTCAGAGGCGGTGGATTCGAGGGCGAAATTAGCCCCGAGGATCTGTTCAACATGTTCTTTGGTGGCGGTGGTGGTCAATTTGGGGGCGGATTTGGCGGGGGCCCTGGTATGTCCCTGAAAACGGTCCATCAGGTGTTGACTGATCATATCTCCGTAGTCTTTTCAGCATCGTTTGGTCCTGGTGGCTTCAGAACGACGAATGTACGGACCAACATGCGACAAGCACCGCCACAAGCCGCAGAGCAGCGGTCAACGTTCTTCCAGCTCCTCCCGCTCATCCTCCTCTTCGCCGTCTCCTTCCTCAATTTCCTCCCCAACCTGTTCGGCACGCCCGCCACGCCCGACCCGCGCTTCTCGTTCTCACCGTCAATGCGGTATAACATGGAGCGGCAGACGGGCGGGCTGGGTGTCAAATACCACGTCAACTCGGGCGAGTTCTCAGGGCACCCGGTTGCGGCGGAGCTGGCGCGCAACGGGAACAAACCCGGGCCCGAACTGAGCAGGTTCGAGAAGACAGTGGAGCAGGTGTTCACGCAGGACCTGTACTCGCAGTGCCAGCGCGGGCTGGACGTGAAGCAGCGGAAACGGGACCAGGAGCTCGGGCTGTTTGGGCTTGGGACGGACTGGGAGAAGGTGAAGCGCATCGAAGCGGAGCCTGTCCCGAGTTGCGAGCAGCTGAAGAGCATGGGTCTCATCAAGTAGATGGTGGCTTGGGTAGGGCGACGGACATGCGTGTAGTGATATCCAGACTGGGGATATAGACCACCATACTCATTGGCTATTTACTTATTGCTCATTTCTATGTTTATGCACTTCGCTGTACTGTATGGCCGGCGTCATTGGGCAAGTCGTAGGTCGCGCATCCGATGTGAAGCACAGACACGCGTTCAAATGCGGATTGCAGGGGCGTAAGACATGGGTACAGTGTGCATCTATTGCTCCTGCTTGGCGCGCTCGAGCCTGAGGTAGAACTCCTCCTGCTTCTGTACTGGAGGAATCATGAGCGCCGGTGAGGTAGAGGGGCGAAAGAAGCGGCTGGGAAGCCTTACCGGTCTTCAGATGGACACCATACCTGAGAACGGAGAGTCAGCGACTGGAAAGTCATAACGGAACGCGACTCGAAACGGACCAGAAAGCGTAGCCTGCGCTGATGCCCATGCCGAGGGAGACACTGAGGTCGAGCCAGAAGCGCTTCCTGAGCTTTCCGGTGATGGGTGCGATGGGCATGGCGTGCGAGAGGACGAGTGGGTGCGGGTGGGCTGCTGGTCGTTGGAAGGAGGAGGAGCGGAGGGCAAAGTCGGAGGCCAGGAGGGGCGCCACGGGAGCCAAACAGCGGCAAACACAGCCTCGAGTGCCCCAGGTCGTCGATCGACTCGCGTTCACCGCATTCCAGACTCTCCCGCGCACGCCCTCGACCCCGCACTCACCGTCCGCCTCGTCGCCAACGCGTCTCCACCAACCTGCATCTACTCGCTTACCCCCCGAAGCCAGCCATCACGGATACCGCCATGGACCAGGACGCGTCGGGCTCCGGCGGATGGCGCTTCGCCCAGTGTTTCGGTGACAAGGGCGATGTCGAGGATATCACAGAAGGTCCGTGTCCTTGGGCTTTCCGGAACGGGTACGGTGTGCTCACTGACTAGCTGCTCGTAACTCAGCGGACATCATCTCCGCCGTCGAGTTCGACTCGACAGGCAACTATCTTGCGACAGGAGACAAGGGTGGGCGCGTCGTCCTCTTTCAGCGCAATGAGTCGGTGCGTAACCCTTCCTTACCATCCGCTGCATCAACTCACGAGAACGCTGTTCTTCGGAACAGAAAAAGGGCTGCGAGTACAAGTTCTACACGGAATTCCAGTCGCACGAACCCGAGTTTGACTACCTCAAGTCTCTCGAGATTGAGGAGAAGATCAACAAGATCAAGTGGTGCAAACGACAGAACGCGGCGCACTTCCTCCTGTCTACAAATGGTGCGAGGTGTCGTATGACCGTCACTCACGGCGCACTCACGGCGCAAAACAGATAAAACGATCAAGCTCTGGAAAGTATTCGAGAAGTCGCTGCGGGTGGTATCCGAGTCCAACATGCACGATGGCCAGCAAACAGTCGCACCACCATTGGCCGCGCAGGGCCTCAAACTGCCGCGCATGACACCGCAAGACCAGATTACCGCCGCAGTGCCACGGAAGGTCTACTCCAACGCACACGCATACCACATACACTCGATATCCGTGAATTCTGACCAGGAGACGTATATCTCTGCGGACGATCTGCGGGTCAATCTGTGGAACCTGGAGGTCAGCGACCGCAGTTTCAGTGCGTTGCCTGTTCAGTGGATCTCCAATCAGCGTGTGCTGACACATCCCTATAGACATCGTAGACATCAAGCCAGCGAACATGGAGGAGCTGACAGAAGTCATCACTGCGGCCGAGTTCCATCCAAACCACTGCAATCTGTTCATGTACTCAAGCTCGAAGAGCAACATGAAGCTTGCGGACATGCGTGAATCAGCATTATGCGACCGTCACGCAAAGTGTAAGTACATCTTTGTCGTCTGACGGTCGGTATGACCTTACAGTACGGACGGCAGTGTTCGAGGAGGAGGAAGACCCATCGAATCGGTCATTCTTCTCCGAGATCATCTCATCGATCTCGGACGTCAAGTTTAGCCACGATGGGCGGTACATTCTCTCGCGGGATTACTTGTCCCTCAAGATCTGGGATGTCAACATGGAGTCAAAGCCAGTCAAGACCATCAGCATCCACGACCACCTCCGAGGGAAGCTCTGCGACCTGTACGAGAACGACTGCATCTTCGACAAGTTTGAGTGCACCTGGGGCGGGGACGACAAGTACGTACATACACACGCTGTGTGTGAACGGGATGGCTCACGGCGCGTGACAGGCATGTGCTGACGGGATCGTACCACAACTACTTCCGCATATTTGACGTCGACGACAGTGGTGACGTCGTGCTGCAGGCAGATAAGTCCGCGTTCAAGGCGAAGAAGATGGGCGGCCCCCTTCCCGGAAACAAGACCCCCGCGAAGAACGGTGTGCGGCCCGGGGGTCTGCGAGAGAACATGGCCATGGACACGCTCGACTTCAACAAGAAGATCCTGCATTCCAGCTGGCATCCGAGAGAGGACACCATTGCGGTGAGTGGCGTTACGGTCTTCCGCCCGCGTGAAGGTCGTCTGATGAGAAACGCAGATCGCGGCGACGAACAACCTGTTCCTTTACAGCGCTGCGTGAACGCCGCGTTGTATGCATACCCTTTATGCCCTGCATGCACATGCTCTCTATGATCCATGCACGCCATACACCCTCCGCCCACTTCGCACACCTACCCGCCGCCTATCATCGCCGGCAGAGCCGAGACTGACGCACCCAGATACCGAGACCATCACTGGACGGACTACCCCCATTCACACGCATTGCATGTCTTCGTGCATCCGCCCCGCCGCTGCTGTCCTTTCCCTCCCCTTACTCCTATTTAGCGCTCATTCTAATGTCGCATCCGCGCGACGTCATCATCATGGCTCTGCAGCAACCGCATCCTACTACTGTATATATTCACACCCGCGTGCGTCTCCCCCTCGGTCTCTCGTCCCCCGCTTGACTTGGCTGCACCGCACCCCTGCGTCGTCCGTCTGTATCTTACCGCTCATCATCACTCGTTACCGGTTGGGGAAGTAGAAGCAAAGAATGTACATTGAAGATTGAAGCGAATAAAGGCTATTACATATCTCGGACGGGCTACGACGGGACTGCAGAGTGTTCGTCGTCGGCCATGGCCATACTTCTGAGCTCCGGGAGCGACGCGCTTTCGCCATAAGTAGTACACAGATGGGAAGAGCAACCATGACGGATGTCCCGTCCTCTCAAAACATCATCCTCGAGGGGTAACAAAGCAAGGTAGACGATCTGCTGAGGACGAGTGAACTAATGTTGCCGTGTCGTTTAACGCCTGAGTGATGGGACATTCGCCTCAGACGTAGATATACACGGCGATGCAGCGGAGACTTCGACGGGCATGACGGATGCGAGGCCAGAGTGTATGGATGTGAAAAATTGGAACGAGTTGATTGCGAGCATGGGACATCGTTGTGGTGAACGACCACAAACTGTGCAGCGCTGCCGAATTAATATATAGTGGCGAGGGTTACGTAAGACTACTTTCCCACCAGTCTGCACCCTGCCACAATGTTCGATCGTTTCAATGAACCTTACATTTCTGTGGCAAGCTTCGACATCTCAAAAGGAGAGCAGAAAAATCTCTATACATTCTATACATCAGTCTCAAACAAAACATTCAGAATTTGATTGGCCTGTTTGGAATCTTTCAATCGGAAAAGATCGATAAATTCATTCACCAGCACCGGAAGTTACACACAAAGTCCCCTCGAGGACTAGGATGAGCACTCGCAGAGCACCTGAAAAGGCTCCTGATTATCACAGCTTCAGTGCAATAAGACTAGCATTACATTACTGGACAGTCTCACAGCATGAGCGGCAGTGTACAAAGGAATGGCACAGCATCAGGTGGAAGTTATTCACAAGGACTGGAAAGTCCAGTACAACTGGGGTGCATGATGGTCACTGGGACGTCAGTCAGCCAGCCAAGTACATGGAAATGTGCGTAAAATCGTCTCGGGAGAGTGGAATAGCTAAGCAAGGTGTCAGGTCCGTACGCTCATTATAGCGCTCAGCGGTATGTAACAATAACTGCTTCTGGTTCAGCACAGACGATGGATTCACGTTCACCTGCATACCTCAAGAAGATAACGTTCTGGTAGCGGAACGGGCTATCAGTGGAGGGTAAGGGCGACCACGGCCAGGATGGACCCCATTATCGCAGTCAATAGCACTGGGTCCATGTAGTTAGACCACGTAAAGCGGGAGTCTGCGAACGATGCGACGTACCAGAACCGACGTTCGCCTTGCTCAGGCTGCCGCTGCTGTTCCCAGAGCTACTGCCACCAGTGCTTGACGCTCCAGCGGACAAAGACCCCGTATGGGTCGCCTGCACCGACGCTGCCCACAGTCAGTCAGCATCCATCCACACAGGAAAAGAAGCCGGCACGACGCACCAAGCGGGAGCGGGTGGCTCGAGTTGTCGTTCGTCTCGAGGTACGCGTTCGCGAGCGGCTCGTTGAGGCACTCGACGATCGGCGTCATGTTGTACTTGGGCGTGTGCGCGAGCGCCTGCGGGAGGATGTAGCCCGTCGCGACGTCGACGGTCTGCTCGTAGAGGTCGTGCTCGAGCACGATGAAGCCCGTGTCGATCTTCGTCGAGTTGTCCATGATCGCCGCCCAGTTGTCGAGCACTTGGAAGACGTTCGTCGTGCCCGCGGGGATGTCCCAGTCTGCCCGTCGCGCGTGTGAGTCGTTCATGCTGCTACATGTAGATCAAGGCTAGGAGACTCACCGTTGGTGTCGAACGTCTGCGAGGAGCTGATGCGCGTCCAGACGATGGGTATCAGGTTCATCGCGGTCGAGATGGCGCGCACGCGGTCGTCGATATCACCGTAGGGCGGTCGCCAGTAGACGGGAGTGACGCCGAGGGTGTCCTTGATGAGCTTCTTCGTCCAGCCGAGCTCGGCGATGACTTGCGGGGTCGTCTTGGTCGTCATGTACGGGTGACTCCACGTGTGGACGGCGACCTGGTTGCCGCTCATGTACTCGTCCTGGAGGATGGCAGGGCGCTCCATGATGCGGGAGCCGATCGCGAAGAATGTGGCGCGGAGGTCCTGCTGGGCGAAGTACTGGAGGAGGTTCGGGGTGTAGGGCGAGGGTCCGTCGTCGTAGGAGACACCCCACGCGTTCTTGGTCGGGCAGGAGGCGACGTCGGTGGACCGCGTGCAGCCGCCGCAGGTCCACCAGCAGTTGGTGGAGGCGTTGGCAACGGCGGCGGTGTTGTTAGCGCAGGCACCGGGGTTGGTGACGGGGATGTCGGGGATGTCGACGCCTGAGTTCATAACCTCCTGGATCCATTGCTGGACTTCGTCGGAGTCGGTCGGCGGGGTCTTGTCGAGCGTGGGGTAGTTTGACGGGACGGGCAAGGCTGGTCGCGGAGATGGTTAGTTAGAGAGTATTACATCATATACACGCGTCGGGAACGCACCGGACGGGAGGCCGGGGGCATTGGGGACGTAGGTCTGCGTCGCACTGGCTTGGTACGTTGTCGAGAGGGCGATGGTCGACTGTGTCTGGGCAGTGCCGGTCCTGATCTCGGAGAGAGGGATGGCGGTGGGGTTGGTAGAAATGAAAGAGAACGTCACCGTTGACGGGAGAGCAGAGCCCGCTGACCCGCTCGCTACCACCGAGGACGCAGCGGCTGCTCCGCTTGTGCTCGACGCGGCCTGTCGTGCATGATGGTTGGCGGCGTTGTGGGCGGCGACGAGCGTGGGGAGGAGGAAGACGGGGAGGGAGAAACACTTCATGGCGGAAGGCCGGGTCGTGACGGTTCTGAGGAAGAAAGAAAAGCTACAGGCCCCGTTGAAAAACCAGCAGCGGGCAACGCTTCACACGGACTTAGTGGTGCTGTTCAACAACAGACTCACCACAGGCTTGCCCGTCCGTCCGTCCGCAGCTGTGATAATCATCTCGCCTGCCACACGCTGCCTGCCGGTCTCCCGCCGACACGGCCCCTGCCATGCCTGCAGGCCTTTCGCGCTCGGTGTGCATCCTCTGCTGTGCGGTGTGAGAGAGGAGGTCCGTCTCACACTTGCCCTCGGCTGATCGACCTCAACGCCCTCGGCCGCCCATAGACGCCCATTCCAGCCACCACCGTCACCGGTCTCCTTTCGGCCCTTTGTCATACCCACAAATTCCACCCACTGACAAAAAAAATCAGTGGCGGCAATAGTATCGTTCCGCACCGCACAAATGAAGCTCCTTAGCTTGGTACATAGCCCGAAGCAGCGACACTTAGCACCGCTGGCCGACGTCGGAAAGCTTAAAAGCATATCGGTGTGGCCATCCCACGTACAGAGGCGCGGCGATCGCCAAGACAAAATTCTTAATTGCCCGTGGACAAGATCGACACATCGACTGTCATGTAGCAAGCACAGAGAAGGAGCCAGGCACGGTCTTCGCTTCCTCGGGCGACTCGCACAGGAACGTATTCACAGGAAGAACGTCCGCCGCGTCGTCTCCAGTTCCGGCTACGAAAGGCCTTTTATAAGTGCGCATAGCAATGGAACACCGACTTAACATACCTTCCACATCCAAAGGAACTCGTCCGTCGTGTTCGGATCTTGCTTTTGTGAGTGAACAGTCTGCTCCTGGTCATCCTCGGGATGTTCGGGCACCGGGTCCGTCTCCATGTCGCCTGCAGCAGCCTGTTCGCTATCCGGAGACTCCCCAAAGTCGTCAAACTCGAGCGGCTTCTTCGGATCGCCGTTGTTCATGACAGCGGGCAGCCCCTTCTTGAGCGAGCGCAGCTTGAGCGTGAATCGCGGCCCGATCTCCTGAAGGGCGACCTTCTCCGTAGAGCGAAACGCATATCTGTCGAAAACTGGTATCAGCGAGCTGCTCCGTGGTGATTGAGCACGAAGGATACGCACCGGTGCCGTCTGAAGAACAGGAAGTCACGCTGGTTGTGCAAAGTGACCACCTGCCGACCCTGGAACTCAGGCATTGGAGGGAACAGGGTCTGGAACAGCCGTCCGACCGTGTGTCCGAGGCGTGTCACGAAGCCGTTGAGCACAAGTTCGGGGAAGTGGTCTGTAGGTCGAGCGTGTCCCTGGAGAGACTAGTCAGCGGTGCAGTTGAGAATCGTGTGCCGATCGACGAACGCGGATTTTCTTGGGAAGTTCGATCGACGTTAGCTTGAAGTATGCTGTAGGGCCGCCTGGGAGGTAGATGATCGTGATGGCGTCTGAGAGACAAAGGTTAGGTCGAACGTACGAAGAGCGACATGGTAGCATACACACTAGGCTTTTTCGTGTCCTCATTCACCACTAGCATATGGCTGTATCCCCGCCCTGCCGCCCACCCCGCTATCCTGCCCATCTCGAAGCCCTTCCCCTTCTTCCGCCTGACGAACTCCGCACCCGGTAGTATATTGACCAGCTCGTCGCAGAAGTCATACGTCACCCGTGTAACTCTCGGCGAAGTTGTGATGAGGACCTTCGGAGGTACGCTGGGGTCGATGTCCCCGGAAAAGTAGGATGCGAAGGGGTCGTTGGCGAGGTCAGCCGCGGACTCGTCTGTGGGCTGCTGTTCGGGTGGGTGAGCCTCTCCGTGCTCGGCGGGCGTAGAGGATGAAGAGGCCTCGGGCTCGTCCTCCGGAGCGGAGGAGGAGGCTACGGGTTGGGCGGTGAGGAAGGAGGGGTCGAATACGCGAGTGTTGTCGAGGGTTCGCGGGACATTTTGTTCTTTCCGTTTCTGAGAAGGGCAAGGGATGAGCTAGAGAAGTGGAGAAACGAGCGGGCAGAGCGCACTTTCTTTGCTACCGGATCGGCCGCCTCTACTTTCGCTAGGGCGAGCCGCCGCTGCAGCTTGTCCTGCCGCTTCTGCTTCTTCTGTTTCCGCGCGACTTCCTCCCTTTTGACTTTGTTCTTGATGACTGAGGGCTCGAATCTACAGTAGGCATTGTAGTCGAAGACCAGGTAGGCAGCTAGGCTAACGTTTGGGTTACGGTGAGAGTGAGCGCTAGCAGAGAAGAGACGCCCGCCCGAAAGTTAGACATTCCCACGGCTGTACACGCTCACATCGACGCGGACGACGGGCAGCGCGACTCGTAGGCCTGCTCACGCCCTCGCCACGTCCATGCGCCCCCTCCACCTCTGCGCCCTCCTCTGCCTCACCGCTTGCGCAAATGCACTCCATTTCTACTTGGATACCGACGAGAAGCGCTGCTTCATTGAGGAGCTTCCTACCGACACCATTGTAGAGGGTATGTGGCGAGTCTCCTGTGACCGGAGTGCGTGCTCAGGCCGACACCACGGACGTCCGCAGGTCACTACCGAGCGCTGGAATGGTCAGAAAAGGACCAGGGGTACGTCGAGAACCCGGAGCTGGGAGTCCTTGTGGAAGTAGATGTGCGTCGAACTTGCTCGAGCTCGCAGTGTGCCACGTTGACCACGGGCCGTCCACCAGGAACTAGAAACGAGCCACAACGTCGTGAAGACGCGCGGCCCACCGGACGGCCGCTTCACGTTCACGTCGCACGAGGCGGGCGATCACTCCATCTGTCTCTCGGCGGCGTACCCGTCGTCCGGGTCGTGGTTCGGCGCGACGCACGTCCGGATCTACCTCGACATCGTCGTCGGCGCGACGAAGGCCGACACGGAGCACGACCGCACACACATCTCCGAGCTCTCCTCGAAGCTGCGCGACCTCAATCAGAAGCTCGAGGACATCCGCCGCGAGCAGCAGTACCAGCGCGAGCGCGAGTCCAACTTCCGCGACCTCAGCGAGTCCACGAACTCGCGCGCGGTGTGGTACAGTCTCGCCCAAATCGTTGTGCTGGTCATGACGTGTGCGTGGCAGTTGAGGCATTTGAGGGTATGTCGTTGCGGAGCTTTGGGTCAAGGCTGGTTGGCTGATTGTCTGTCTAGCGGTTCTTCGAGGACAGGAAAATGCATTGACTTTTGGCATAACATGTTTGGGCCTGGACTCCATATGTAGACTATTCCTCAGCTATATCTTACCCTGCAAAACATGTTGTGGTGCAGGTGTCATCAGTGCGGAAGACACTTAAAATCAGGTTGCATCTACCAGAAGTGAGTGAAAAAGCTGAGGCAAGCACTGAGATCTACCGGGGTGTATGATGGGACTTGGACATGTAATGTAGATATGAATTTGAATAGAAACATTGGTGGTAGGAGCAAATCAGATGCACAGTACATAAGGTTATGCAATGTAGTCTATGACAATGAGAAGATAGTGTGCACAGTATTATACAGGGCAGTGTGCCTCTTGGTGACATGTGTGACATAGGCAAAGAGTGGATATACAAGTGCAGGCTTGAGTGATGTTATTGGACAAAAAATGCCTGTTTTGAAGTCTACACTGCTTATTCCGAAAAACCTGACTGAGGGGCAAGAAGTGCCAGCTGGCTCAGGCTGCACCCAGGCATCAAGTGGGTCTGCTGTTGAACAAGGAGTGATGTGGTGTAGCTGAAGCCACAACTACAAAGGAGCAAACTAAGGACTGTAGTTATAGAGGGCTTACAAAGATCTCTGAGACTGCTGAGAGGGAGGCTCAGGAGGTGTAGAATGAGAGGAGAGATTGTTACATCACAGGGGCATCCAGCCCAGTAAGATAGGGCTCATACACAAGCATCCAGTGTGACATCTGTGACCTGTGCGTTACAGTCATGGATAACCTCCGTCACCAAGACTTATCCAAGCACCTGATTGCCATTTCGAGAATGTCTGAATGCACGTCGTGCATGTTCAACTCGGAGGCTCAGGCTGGAGCATTGTATGTAGAGTAGACTATGTAGTATGTACGCCAATGAGTAGTGTATACTATGTGCATAGCTAGAAACATTATAGGGACTAGTAGCAGTATGCAAAGTAAGTGCTAAGGTTACAGAGTGTTCAAGTCCAACTGCGAGTCTGAGTCAAACTGCTGTAAGATAGAATCCAGAATCAAACAATGTCCATGGTGACTTTTGTTCGCCCAGGCTGCCTGCACCCCGTTGAGCCCCTTGCGGTATGTGTCTGCAAACCGGAGTGAACAGTTATGATAGCGCCACATGACTGTCAGCGACACTGACCCGAGTGCAGACAGGACATTGCGCTCGAGGTCAGCCTCGCTGGAAGAAGCTGGATACATATGATAGGTCCTCTTGGCACTCCCCCAGACTTGCTCTATAAAGTTGAGTTCTGGGTGAAACTTCAGCAGGACGATGAGCTTGACTCCTCATTGATCGCACATGATCTCGAGCTCTGACTTTACACCAGCAAAGTCAGGCTGGTTGTAGAGCATCCGGCAGCAACAGCAGTTTGCTGAGCCAGGTGGGCAGTCCTTGAACTTCTTTTGGCACTGAGCTTTCATTGCGTGTGCGTTCAGAAACCCACATTCTTCTAGGATATAAGCCATGCCAGTCAGTGACTCGGGACACAATTTGGGACACAACTTGGGATGCAACTCGGGACACGGCTCAGGACGAGACTTGGGATGTGGCTCAGGACGTGACTCGGGATGCAATAGTGCGAGAGACTCGGGACACGACTTGGGATGTAGCTCAGGACGTGGCTCAGGACGCGGCTCAGGATGTGAATTGGGATGCGCTCGGGACACAGCTCAGGACGTGGCTTGGGATGCAATGCAGGACTCCAATGCGATGATGGATTGACTGCCACAGGTATAGCATTATTGGGAGCCTCTGTTTCATCTATCTTGTTGTATTCCCCTTCACTCTGTACTGGTTGAGCAACTGTGTCTGTCAGTGAGTGCTGAGTACAATGATGTCTATCACTCACTGTTGAGGCCCAGTCCTCCTTACATTCTGCTTCTAATTGCAGCCACCTCCGCTCTGACACCTTCACATGGTTCCCAAGATTTTTGAGGTTGCGGAGGCAGCATTTGGGCATAGGACAAATATTGTATGGGCACCTCCGAGCCATGGGCGTGGCCGGCACTGAGATCAATTGAACTTTATTTTGTGCATTTCCTCTTTAGTAACAGTGTGTAAGTAGCACGTGCACTCCCTCTTTGGGAAAGCTATGCACTGCGCCCACGAGATAGGTAAACACAATTCATATCAGTCCCAGAAAAAAGAATCCTTCACACAGTTTTGTGCCAATTGTCCATAAGCACAGAACTGTGCAAACCGACTCCAAGGCAAAGTGCACACATCATTTTCATTAATTCTATGGTGTGGTGTCACACCTTCCTTACATAAGCCTGGATGCTTGTGCGTGAGCCTTATCTTATATATAGAGAGAGCCATCACATGATTGTACAGTAAGTGTAGTTGACAGAAGGTGGTTAGTTGGATTGAAAATGAGACCTTTTCACCAAGAGATAGGTTGGTCCTGATCAAGGACAAATTTCTCCTTACTTGCTGGGGAGTGGGCCATGTATGGCAGTACAATCCCAGTTGTATTGTCTGTGTCTTTGGCCTTCAAAGAAACTCATTAATCCACTCCTTGAATCTTACTTAATTGAATGCATTGACATACACTCATCTGAGAGACTACCTGCCTTCCATGCTTTACCAGAACAAGCAGTGGTCAAACTGTGACAAGAAAAATAATATTGCACCAGCCAAATTGAATTTATAGGGAGTATCATGATTGTCATGGTGCTCAGCTTGTCAACCTCATCACAGTAACACAAAACACAAGAGCATTGAATCCTGAATATTTAGTGCATTGCATGGGTATGGATAACCCATGTGGGTCATGGGTATGGGTATGCATGGGTATGGGTATGGGTAGCCCAAATCTGACCCATGAACCCATGTGACCCATGGACTACTGCAGTGCTAATCCAGCAGTAGAATATGGTAACTGCTAGTCAGATAGTCTGTGCTGTGTATACATAGACTGCTGAAGTTGTCAAAATGATGACAACAAGTGCATTACAGTGTGGGTGCCATCATGCTGACCTCATCTTTCTAACTCACAATGATAGCTACTCCAGTGCCATGTATTCATGAGCTGAAATACAAAATATGACCAGACTGAATCTTACCATGTGATTGTCCATGTTGGACAGCCAGTGATACTGTCTACTTTTGCTAGGCATCTGTGACATGGCCACTCCTGATAGCATAAGAAGGATCAGTATGGATACTGTGTCAAGGCCCTTTTGAGATGAACACTAGACCTGCAGTTCCAGCATTGTTAGTTGATTCACTAAATCCAGGATTACAGCAATGTGTAGGGCTATGATCATGCTCTTTATATGAAATCATGGTCCCAGTTGTGTCACTTACTAAGTAGCAATGCATTAAGCTCTCAATGAAAATGTCCACATCATGGGCTAGTCATGTTCATTCCCCAGCCCTATTTATCATATGTTGGTGAAAAACCTGTGACATAAGGCAGTATTCAGGATGAAGATTAGTAAATCAACCTAATATGCCCCTCTTCTCTGAGGCTAGTCTATGTGGCAGACTATTCATATTCATTGCACAATGCCAGCCTGTGTTTCAGTTAAATTGTTGTCTACCCTGAGTTTCTGCTCAATGTTGACCCACAGTAATCCTGCTACATTGGGGTGACCCATTGGGATATGGTGAATTTCAAAAGGCTCTGCCCATGGCATCACTATCCCCTATGTGTTGTGATGTGCATTTGTATATGCAGACTTGCTATCCCCCAAATCTTGTGGTCTCCCCACCTAAGTAGTGATATGTACTGGAAATAAAGGTACAGTCACTGTTTATCAGGTTCTTTAATCCTTTGTCACATCTTGGATGGATTTGTCCTATGTTACCTTGCTTTGACCATTCAATTGACCTCTCTGCTCCATTGTTCTTGCATGTATGTAAATTGCTTGCATAACAGCCTACTCCCTCATGTAGATGCCTCCCATCTAATTGATGTATGTCCTGGCTTGCAAAACTGGAAACTCCACCTTCTATGTTGTGATTGACCATGCAGTGGGGTTCCAAGTGGTAGCAGTAGATATGCACCATAAAACTGTCCTGCTTTGCTGCCCCATCATTGGACTGCAGGCTGTCCAGGACACTGTTCAAAGAGAACAGCCCCTAGTCACATCCATCTCCATGGCCCAGTGTCAGCTCTGTGGGGTTATTCATCCAATTGGCAAGCCAGTTGTGAGTCTGGTCTGAGCTCACTTGGCCAGTATGATACTGATCAACACACCCCATATCTTGCCAATTATGTTACCCATCATGCAAAATTATGAGTACAATGAACTGCACATAGATCTACCCATGATGGTACCCATACCCAAGGTACCCATGATACCCATGCAAAACCCATACCCATGCCATGGGTATGCAACCTATGGTGGTATGGGTATGCCCTCAGACACCCATGGGTACACCCACGCTATGCACTATCGACCGTGAGCAAACCATTAGTCTGAGACACTGTGTTCCGCCAGGAAGCTGTCGAGCGCAGCGCACTCGGCGACCAAGGAGCCGGCGAGCCAGATGTCGCTCTCGGGGCGGTAGCCCCACCATCAACGAGATACTGGAACCCACACCCGCGACGGCATCATCCAGTATTCACTCGATCTCCCACTCCTGTTGGCTGTCTTCCGTGACCACCGGTCCGGGACGAGGGAGTTCGCGACCAGGGAACAAACCGTTATTGTTTTGCCGATAAGGTTGTAAGAGGGAGGAGTGGAAGGTGTTAAAGATGTTCATCAACTCCGGCAGATCCAGAGTATATGTCGATGAGTCAGGCCAGGCCTGAATGACATTGTAAGGACGTCGTAGTGCACCATGAATTTCGCCACACGATGATCGCCTTGTTGCATATAGTCACGACACCGGTGAAAGGTGGACAATAGAACGGGATCGCCCACACTGTAGGGGATTTCTGGAGAGCGATGAGTGTTTGCAGACAAGGCTTGTGTCGTCTTAGCGAGGAGTAGATTATCTTGCACTTCCATACAGTACGTTTGATGCAACGGATGAGGTCAGCGGCTTGCTCAGCGGAGAGACCAAACTCCGTGGCAGTGGCGCTGACAGCGTCATTGAGAAGAGGTGGAATCAATCGAGGAGAGCACCCAAGACGAAGTTGGAATGGGGTGAAACCGGTAGAGGCATGTACCGTGTTCATCAGCTGGAAACAAATGTGCGGCAATGCCTTGACCCAGCCAGTCTGTTGACGGGAGACGTGGTACCGCAGCATTTGGATGAGCGTACGGTTTGTGCGCTCGCTAGCGCCGTTGGTTTCGGGGTGGTACAAGGAAGACATCTTGATTTTGATGCCAGTAAGCTGGTGCAA